GTGCCAGGCTGGACCTCTGTTTTTGAGTGAGGAAACTGTGCCAGGCTGGACCTCTGTTTTTGAGTGAGAAAGCTGTGCCAGGCTGGATCTCTGTTTTTGAGTGAGGAAACTGTGCCAGGCTGGATCTCTGTTTTTGAGTGAGAAAGCTGTGCCAGGCTGGATCTCTGTTTTTGAGTGAGGAAGCTGTGCCAGGCTGGATCTCTGTTTTTGAGTGAGGAAGCTGTGCCAGGCTGGATCTCTGTTTTTGAGTGAGGAAACTGTGCCAGGCTGGATCTCTGTTTTTGAGTGAGGAAACTGTGCCAGGCTGGATCTCTGTTTTTGAGTGAGGAAGCTGTGCCAGGCTGGATCTCTGTTTTTCAGTGAGGAAGCTGTGCCAGGCTGGATCTCTGTTTTTGAGTGAGGAAGCTGTGCCAGGCTGGATCTCTGTTTTTGAGTGAGGAAGCTTTGCCAGGCTGGATCTCTGTTTTTGAGTGAGGAAGCTGTGCCAGGCTGGATCTCTGTTTTTGAGTGAGAAAGCTTTGCCAGGCTGGATCTCTGTTTTTGAATGAGAAAGCTGTGCCAGGCTGGATCTCTGTTTTTGAGTGAGGAAGCTGTGCCAGGCTGGATCTCTGTTTTTGAGTGAGGAAGCTGTGCCAGGCTGGATCTCTGTTTTTGAGTGAGGAAGCTGTGCCAGGCTGGATCTCTGTTTTTGAGTGAGAAAGCTGTGCCAGGCTGGATCTCTGTTTTTGAGTGAGGAAGCTGTGCCAGGCTGGATCTCTGTTTTTGAGTGAGAAAGCTGTGCCAGGCTGGATCTCTGTTTTTGAGTGAGGAAGCTGTGCCAGGCTGGATCTCTGTTTTTGAGTGAGGAAGCTGTGCCAGGCTGGATCTCTGTTTTTGAGTGAGGAAGCTGTGCCAGGCTGGATCTCTGTTTTTGAGTGAGGAAGCTGTGCCAGGCTGGGTCTCTAGCACACCTTGGACCTAAACCTTCTCCAGCTGGGATCAAAGTCTTAGAGCAGGAGTCCCCAAAATACGCATGTGGCCCCCTGAGGCCATTTATCCGGCCCCCCGCTGCACTGCAGGAAGGGGCACCTCTTTCATAGGTGGTCAGTGAGAGGAGCACAGTATGTGGCGGCCCTCCAACGGTCTGAGGGACAGTGAACTGGCCCCTTGTGTAAAAAGTTTGGGGATGCCTGTCTTAGAGGAATGCAAAGGTGTAGGGCCCCCCTGAGAATATGGAACCATGACAGATCTGTATCACCATTTATGGAAAAACCCAGAATAACTGCCCTGTGTTCTGTGACCTTTGATGTCGATTCCGTGGACACGAGGAATCTTTTTTTTTTTTTTTTTTTTTTTTTTTTGAGACGAAGTTTCGCTCTTGTTACCCAGGCTGGAGTGCAATGGCGCGATCTCGGCTCACTGCAACCTCCGCCTCCTGGGTTCAGGCAATTCTCCTGCCTCAGCCTCCTGAGTAGCTGGGATTACAGGCACGTGCCACCATGCCCAGCTAATTTTTTGTATTTTTAGTAGAGACGGGGTTTCACCATGTTGACCAGGATGGTCTCGATCTCTCGACCTCGTGATCCACCCGCCTCGGCCTCCCAAAGTGCTGGGATTACAGGCATGAGCCACCGCGCCCGGCATGAGGAATCTTTTGAGTAGAGATGAAGATCTTGGATGTGTTGGTGGTTTCACAGCTGTCAGAATTCACCGAATTGCACAGATTAAATAGATGCAGTTGGTTTGCAAATTAGTCCTTGATAACGCTGATTAAAAATCCCTAATGAAGACCTAAAAGGGAAAGAGGCAGGAAGGAGAATCTAATACACAGAAGCCATTCTGTAAGTGAAAGGAGGGCTCAGGCGCAGGAACGTAGTTGTCAGGAGCGACTTTGTTTTGGCCTCCTGTGAAATGTTGAGTTTCAAAACAAATGTAGTGTCCCTTGCAACCTTGAGAATTTGGGGAGCGATTTAAATTCATTCTTACGATGAGGTGGAAGCCTCTGAAATCTGTACCCCAGCACTTCATCCTTCTGCCCCACGATCTACATAACCATGAAAATAAAGTTCAGTTATTCATAGTCATATAATCATCAAGGTGAGAACCAGGTTCAGTACTCAGCTTGAGTCTGGGGATTCCATCTTTCTTCAATTTTTGACGGCATCACCTTCACTTAGTTTAAGGAATTTAAAAATCTTTAATATATGAAGCAGCTTTAGTTGGCTTATTGTCTTCTTTAGATAGATTGCTGTCCCGTGAACTTAGTCTAACTTATTCACAGAAGATGGATTAGGCTGGAAGGACGTATCAGAACTGCAGTGTGCAGAACTCTGTGAGACCAGGTTTACCTGAGTTCCCCGTCCGTCCACGAGATCCAAGCTTGAGATCATGACAGTCACCATGTCTCGGGACGGGGACTGGTCAGCAGTGCAGTGGTCATGCTGGAATGTTTCAATGTTTTTGAAATATTTTCACTATTTTGATGCTAAAAACTTCTTTTTGTGAGATGGAATCTCTGTTGTGCAGGCTTTTTATGAAACCCACCATTATCAAGAGATGAATATGGTTCCCAGGAACACTGTTCTATCCTGCTTTAAGTATGATTGGTCATATCTGGTCATGTGCCCTGCTCTGAATCAAACACTGAAAGTGGATTGCTAAAATTGCCTTCATCTAAACTCCATTTTCCTCCCACTGGCTCCCTGGGCTTGGAGCGTCAAACAGAACTGGCTTTCTGTGAGTCAGGAAGAAGTGAGCACAGCTGCTGTGTAGACCCTCGTCAATGTCTGCTGCAGTTACACCTGGAGACGAGCTCCCCAGGGTCCTCAGAAGCAGTGGAGACGAGAATCCATGATGGGAGTGGGGTGCTGCCCTGCTCAGCTTCGTGATGCAAAAATGCACTGCTGGTCTGGATCCTGCTCCTCATTCCCGCACCCAGCTGGGTGCCCATCTGGCCCCACACCTCAACACCAGGTTCTGAGCACAGTCTCCTGACCATTCAACCCCTTCAGGATTTTGCATGGGCAGTTGGACCACCCCACCACCACTGGAGCCTGAGGGGAAGATAACTCATGTTAGGAGAGAGAGAGAGAGAGAGAGAGAGAGAGAGAGAGAGTGTATGTGTGTGTGTTATATAATATATAAAATAACAATTAGAATTGTTAATTGGGCCGGGAGCGGTGGCTCATGCCTGTAATCCCCACACTTTGGGAGGCCGAGGCAGGTGGATCACTTGAGGTCAGGAGTTTGAGACCATCCTGGCCAACATAGTGAAACCTCGTCTCTACTAAAATACAAAAATTAGCCAGACATGGTGGTGTGTGCCTGTGATCCCAGCTACTCTGGAGGCTGAGGCAGGAGAATTGCTTGAGCCCAGGAGGCGGAGGTTGCAGTGAGCTGAGATCATGCCACTGCAATCCAGCCTGGGAGACAGAATGAGATTCCATCTCTGAAAAAAAAATCGTTAACTGTTTATATATAATAGTTTATAGATATTAACAATTATATATGAACTTGTATATATAATTAATTATAATAGCATATATATTAACAATTACATATATAAAAATATGATTTGTTATAAACAAATTATATATAAACTATTACATAAAATTAGTGTATATAAAACATAACTTAAAGTAATAATATAACATTATATTATATCATATGTAATAATTATTTATATATAATATTTGCCATTATATATCATTGTTAGAGCACTTAACATGAGCTCTGTCCTCTTAACAAATTTCAAGTGAACGAGACGTTATTGTTGGCCATAGGTCGTGTGTTGGATGGCAGAGGGTTTGTGCTAGTAACGCCCCGTTTCCCTCTCCTCCCAGCCCCGGGAACCCCCATTCCCTGCTGTGAAGACCTCATGTGGGCCACATCAGGCAGTCCCTGAGCTGCATCCGGTGGTGCGGTGTCCTCAGAGTGAGTCTGTGTTGTTGCCCGTGGCAGAACTTTCTTCCTGTGTAAAGTGAACAGTATTCCCCTGTGTGTGTGCGTTTTCTTCTCCGTTCATCTATAGTGGGCATTTTGATTATTTTCGAGTCTTAGCGATTGTGGATGGTGCTGCAATGATCAGGGAGTTCAGACGGCTCTCTGACATACTGAGTTTGCTTCTTTTAAATATCTACCCAGAAGGGGGGTTGCTGGATCATATGGTAGCTCTATTTTTAATTTTTTGAGGAAACTCTCCCGTTTCCTATAGCGAGTGCACAACTTTTCAGCCTCTCAGAGTGTTGCGATGTCCAACATGAGCCACCGTGCCCTGAGCATTGTTGGTATTTTTGACGTGTGAAATACCTTGCTGGAGGCTGGGCGCGGTGGCTCACGAGGTCAGGAGATTGAGACCATCTGGTCAACATGCTGAAACCTCGTCTCTACTAAAAATACAAAAATTAGCTGGGTGTGGTGGCGCGTGCCTGTAATCCCAGCTACTTGGGAGACTGAAGCAGGAGAATTGCTTGAACCTGGGAGGCAGAGGTTGCAGTGAGCCAAGATTGCACCACTGCACTCCAGCCTGGGTAACAAGAGTGAAACAATGTATCAGAAAAAACACACAAAAAACCAAAAAAAAAAAAAACACAAAAAAAAACCTTGTTGGGATTTCAGCAAAAATCATGATATTAAAAACTTGGGGAAGGGCTTACATGGCTCCTGTTTCAAATACGAGGCAACGTCAACTCCTGATTTTGTAACGTGTTGCCCAGGAGCACTGGCCGCTGACTTGTGGAGTTGGGATGACGTCCCAGTGAGTTTGTTGCACGACCTTTATTCTGCCTTGTCCCAGAGATTTAGAAAAAGTGCACATCAGATAAGTAGTTTAACGTCATCTATCTCTGTGAGTAAGTGACATTTTTTCAGAAACCAAGGCCTGCCTCCCGTCTCACTAGTGGGAAAGGTGGAAGGAGCAGGATAAAAAGCTCTTCCTCTCGTGTGAGGCAGCTGCTGTGGGAACCCCATAGGCAGGAGGCGCCACATCCCGTCCGCTTGTGTCTGCAGCTGAGACTGGGACCGGGGTCATGTCTCCCCACCCCACCGCCGTCCTGGGCCTAGGTGAGTCCTGGAGGCAGCGGGGAAGACTGGAAAGTTCCCTGCTCCAGCTTGACTCCAGTCCTGAGGATTCTGGGGGGAAAAGTCTCCTCCTCCCCCAAGACCGCCCTGCTGCTCTCCCCGGGGCCTAAGTCTGACCAGAGGAGACCTTGTCCTAAAAGCAGGGGCCTGGGTGTGGGGATGACGTCAGCTTTAAGAGGGGCTGGGGTGCCGCGCGCGGTGGCTCACGCCTGTAATCCCAGCACTTTGGGAGCTGAGGAGGGTGGATCACCTGAGGTCAGGAGTTTGAGACCAGCCTGGCCAACGTGGTGAAACCCCGTCTCTACAAATACAAAAATAGCCGGGCGTGGTGGCTCACGCCTGTCATCCCAATTACTCGGGAGACTGAGGCAGGAGAATTGCTTGAACCCAGGAGGTGGAGGTTGCTGTGAGCCAAGATTGTGCCACTGCACTCCAGCCTGGGAAACAAGAGCGAAACTCTGTCTCCAGAAAAAAAAAAAAAAAAGCGCTGAGGAGCAGGAGCCTTTTTGGAAGAGGAGACTTTGGGCTTTATCTTGAAACCATTTTGCAGCAAGAAGGATTCTACTCAGACAGTGATGTGGAGGAGGGGTAGTCTGGTGGTTACGAAATGCTGAATGCCCCCAGCTGCATGGAGCCCCCTTTTGATAGCAGCCCCGTATGAGGACTGGGTGGTGGGCATTTCTCTCACTGCGGCTTCCCTTCCAGTGCTCTGCCTGGCCCAGACGATCCACACGCAGGAGGGTGAGTCCCGTCTTCAACCCGTCTCCCCAGTCCCCTCCTTACCCCAAGGGCAGTTCTGGGTGGGAGGGATGTTGATTCTTAGAGGGCCTGGAGGGATCCCCTGAAATGTATCCTGGATTGCAAACGATTCCAAATGTGAAATGCACAGCCCTCACCCCTTTCTCTCCTTCATTCTCCTCCTGTCATATTTTGCTTTTCTTATTTTTAACTGACAAATCTTATTTTTAATTGACAAATACGTATGTATGTGTGTGGGGTACAATGTGATGTTACAACGTATGTAAACATTGTGGAAAGATAAAATAAGGCCAACATACCAATCACATCACATACCTATTGTGAGGATAACATTTAAAATATACTTTGAGCAATTTTGACACTTATAAGTTATTATTAACTATAGTCAGCCTGCTGTGTGATAGATCTCAAAACTTACTCTTTCTGTCTAATAGAAACTTTGTATCATTTGATCAGTGTCTCTCCCGAGCTCCCGACCTCCAGCCTCTAATGCCATTATTCAACTCTCTACCTCTGTGAGCTGACTTGAGACGGAGTTTCACTCTTGTTGCCCAGTCTGGAGTGCAGTGGCGTAATCTCAGCTCACTGCAACCTCTGCCTCCCAGGTTGAAGCGATTCTCCTGCCTCAGTCTCCTGAGTAGCTGGGATGACAGGCGTGAGCCACCATGCCCGGCTATTTTTGTCTTTGTAGGGATGGGGTTTCACCACGTTGGCCAGGCCTCCCGAGTGACTGGGATCACAGGCATGCGCCACCACGCCTGGCAATTTTGTATTTTTAGTAGAGACAGGGTTTCACTATGTGGGCCAGGCTGGTCTCAAACTCCTGACCTCGGGTGATTCACCCACCTTGGCCTCCCAAAGTGCTGAGATTACAGGTGTGAATCACTGCACCCGGCCGAGATGAACTTTATTTTAGATTCCACATGCGGCGTTATCTTTCTGTGCCCGGCTTATTTCACTTAGCCGAATGTCCTCCAGTTCATCCGTGTTGCTGTGAGTGACAGAACGCCCTTCTTTTTCTGGGATGAATGATATTCCACTGCACATGCCCACCACATTTTCCTTATCCGTTCATTTGTGAGTGGACGCTCAGCTTATTTCCACATCTTGGCTGCTGTGGGTCCTGCTGCAGTCATCACAGGAGTGCAGGCGTCACTTCCACACACCGATTTCCACAATGATGGTTCAAATCCAACATGACCAAGGCTGAGCCTGGGAGCTTTCCCCAGATGAGCCCACGCTTCCCTCGGCAGCTCCTTGGCGGGGAATATGACAGTCACCAAGGGCAGACTCTGAAGATTCATCCTCTTCATCCTCCTAGATGCATCCTGTCACCCAGTCCTGGTGATTTCACTCTAAGTTTCTCTCATCTTTCCTTCTCTTACTTTACTTGTCCTGCGTCTCCCCCAGGTGACCGCACCTCTCCCCTCCACGGCCCCCCGAGGCTGGCCTCAGCCTGTCCATGCCCCGGCTGCCCGCTCCCTTCCTGACGCCAGGGATGCTGTGATTTGCAAAAGCACAAATATGACCATTGTACCATCCACAATGTTTAAACTGTATTTAAACATTTCCACTTCATATCTCATCGTAAGATGAAATATCATTTTTTCCCTCAGAGCCCTTCCCATTTATCTTCAGGTAGAGTCAGACCCACGCCCCTCTCTTTGGTCTGGACATGCTGATTTTCCCAGCCACACCCTGTCCCCGTGACTTCAGGCTCACTCATCTCTGCATTCTGGCAGCTTCTTTCCCTTTCTCAAACACTCCACATTCTGTTCAATATTGGGCTGTCTCACATGCTGATTTTTTTTTTTTTTTTTGAGATGGAGTTTCGTTCTTGTTGCCTAGGCTGGAGTGCAATGGCACAGTCTTGCAACTTCTGCCTCCTAGATTGAAGCAATTCTCGCTGCCTCAGTCTCCCGAGTAGCTGGGGAGGTGCCCACCACCCTGCCCGGCTAATTTTTGTGTGTGTGTGTGTGTAATTTTAATAGAGACGGGGATTCACCATGTTGGTCAGGCTGGTGTCAAACTCCTGACCTCAGGTGATCCACCTGCCTCAGCCTCCCAGAGTGCTGGGATTACAGGCGTGAGCAACCGTTCTGGGTCTGATTTTTTAAAATTAATTAATTCCGTTTAAAATTGGCTAGTGAAAACTGCATGCATTTATCATGTCCAGTATGACGCTGTGGGCTAGGCACAGTGTGGAACGGCTGCATGGAGCTAGGTCACGCAGGCATTCCTCCCGTGCTAATCATTTTTTTTTTGGGGTGAGAACGCTTAGAACCACCTCTATTAGCAATGTCCAATCATGCAATACATTGTTGTTAACTATAGTCACTATGTTGTACATTACCTCTCTTGAGTTGATTTCTCCTCTCTAACTGAAACCTTGTATCCTCTGAGCAACACTCATTGGCTGATTTTCCCACTGTGAGTGCCCTGGTGTCCCGTCTGCTCAGCTCAGGGAGTTTCTACTCCTCCCTCGCCCCTCTGTCCCCTGTCCTTCACGAGTGACCGTGTCACCCCCATGCTGTGCCTCCCTTCCACCTTCTGTCCCTCTGGAAAGTGGCCCTGGGCTCTGCAGCAGACACGAAGGGCCCCAGGCTGCTCTGACTCTTCCTACGTGACCCTGAGCAGGGCTCAAGCTGGGAGCAAGTCTCAGGGTCCTTAGTGTCCACCGGGAAAATAACTCTGCAGTGACGAGAATTCACACGCAGGTGGAAGGTGCAAGAGGCGGGAAATGTTCTAAAGTCGGGCTGTGGTTACAGCTGCACAATTGCATAAATTTGCTAAAAACCCTGAATTGTGGGCCAAAGTGATGTGTGTGGCACGGTGACTTCCTACAGTGGACACTGAGACCCTTCTCTGCTTTCTCCTAGGGGCCCTGCCCAGACCCTCCATCTCGGCTGAGCCAGGCACTGTGATCCCCCCGGGGAACCCTGTGACCTTCCGCTGCCGGGGCCCAGTTGGGGTTCACACATTCCGCCTGGAGAGGGAGAATAGATCCCAGTACAAAGATAATTATGATGTGTCTCTAGTTAGTCCATTTTTGTCAGAGGCCACATTCCGCATTGACTCAGTGAGTGAAGACAGCGCTGGGGGTTATCGCTGCATCTATCATAAGGCCTCCAGATGGTCTCAGCACAGTGAGACGCTGGAGCTGGTGGTGAAAGGTGAGGACGCCACCTGGGCCCTGCCCTAGTCTCAGCTCTGCCCTCGAGCTTGTCCCCAGGTCCCTGGACCCTGTCCCAGCTACTATCCTCTCTCTGTGGCCACCCTTGCCCTCCTCCTGACCCCCTAGCCTTCCCCTCCCCTCTCCCTCTGCCCACACCTCCCCTCTGCCCTCACACCCGCTTAGGTCCCTGGCATCCTGGTCCCCTCTGGACGCCACAGATGGCCTGGACACTCAGCCCAGCATCGGGTGGGCTCAGAGCTGCCTCTGCTTGGCTGGGTGGGGAGTGGGTTCCCAGAGATTAGGGGGCACCCCCCCTACCAGGGGCTGAGTGTCTTTTCACCCAGGATGGATGGTCCTCTTGTTATTCCTCTCCCCTGAGCCAGAACCTGCCCCAGGGAACGTGCTCCTCCTGCTGTGGCTCGTCTCCCATTGGGCAGAACACAGGGTCCAGGGGTGGCTCCTGACCGGGGCTGGACAGTGCTGTGGGAAATCCTCTGGTATGTGACCACACGGACCCCTGTGTGTGCTCAGCCACAGGGATGTCCTGAAGTCAAAGTCCACTGGAGAGGCTCCAACCCACCTTCATGGCCCCCCAGCACCTCAAAGGAGTCCCCTGAGGTTAAGAAGAGCTGGTGTGTGTGTGGGGGGGAGCAGAGGGAGTGACCAGTCCCCGGCAAAATGGGGTAAGGGAGGTTCCCAGTAATACTGAGCAAGTATTGTCTCCTCACAGGGACTGTGCCAGACACGGAAGCCTCCGGGTTTGACTCACTGTGAATGAGGAGAAATGGCCTCCCGCCTTGTGAACCTCAATGGGGAGAAATAATTGGAATGAGCAATAGAGATACACATATGCCTTTACATGCATATGCAAATAAAAATGTATGATTTGCAATGTGGAATTTCACATCTATTATTTAAATTATACTAAATATGTTTCATCATATGTATATAAGGAACATAATAATTATTTCTTCTATTTTTTATTTATTTTTTGAGATGGAATCTCTCTGTGTTGTCCAGGCTGGAGTGCAGTGGTATTAATCTAGGCTCACTGCAACCTCCGCCTCCTGGGTTCACATAATTCTCCTGCCTCAGCCTCCTGAGTAGCTAGGATTACAGGCATCCACCACCATGCCTGACTAATTTTTGTATTTTTAGTAGAGACGGTGTTTCACCATGTTGGCCAGGCTGGTCTTGAACTCCTGATCTGGTGATCTGCCTGCCTTGGCCTCCCAAAGTGCTGAGATTACAGGCTTGAGCCACTGTGCTGGCCGGGAGCCACTCTTTAAAGCTGCACATTTCCCCTAATTTCCAAAAAGAAGTTCTATAAAAAATGGGCACTCTGGTGCCGGGTGCATTGTGATGTTGAGAGTGATGGGTCCTACTCATTTCTGGGGCTAATGCTTTCATCAAATTGAATCTTGGAGACAGTGAAGTCGAACAGGCAGGAGCTTGGAGCCAGACATGCACTTAGAGGATTGCCATAAACTAGTGTGTTTCAGTCAAATCCCTTCACTAGAATAAGATTATCTTTACCGAGGTCACCATGACTCCTGCCTTCTAGTTACACTGTGAACACACACAGATAGAATTTGTGGAACGCCCAGCCCAGCTTCTGCCCCACAGGAGCAACTCAGAAACTGCTGGTCTTAGCCCTGTGTGCAAACCCTAAATGGCTTATGTCTCTGTGCAGGGCTGGCTACATTTTCCGTGAGCTGTGCAATTGGAGTTCCAAGCTGGGTTTAATGCGTGGGGCCTTCTGTTTTCATTTTGCACGGGGTCCCGTGGATGACGTAGGCAATGCAGCAGGTATGATTTTGCATGAGGATTTGTCAGGATGATTTTGGTTTGTTATCTTTGTGTATGTCTCACATGGGTGAAATGGACAAGCAGAAAATCCTCGAGCCAGGAAACTGAGAGCAGAGCCAAATATCCCAAAATTCAAGGGGAAAGCAGCAGGGGAGGTTGTTGGTTTGATTTACTACAGAGTTAAAGTGTGCGTTTGAATATTGAATAAATTATCAGGTCTTCCCTCTCTGCCTGCCCATTTACAATTAATACTTGCATCCATCCATTCTTCCAACATGTATCTGTAAGTATCAGTCCTATTTCATACAATTAACCACGAATGAAAAATAAAGCATGCGCTTCACTGACACGGATCGTATATTTTGAGCTCTGCTAGTCTAGGGGATGTGATAGATGTCCAGAAATAACTACAGAATAGATAACTATGCACTATGGCCTTTGTATGTGGAATCACTCCTCAGATACGGGTGATTGGAAAATAGACTGGCATAGCTCTCCTGTCTCGGAAAGGGAGTCATGAGGAAGTGATGCTTGAGGACCAGATGAGTGGTCAGGAGGAGGCATACTGAGGGCTGGGAACTCCAGCAGGATTAGGGGGTATAGACGGTGGTCCCCATTGCAAAGGATCATGGCTACCCAGTGCCGTGGGAGCCCTCCTCGTCCTAGAATCAGAGCTGGGCTGATTCTCCTTCAGTCCACCCTGTATCCCCACAGTACACACCTCTTCCATTCCAGGAAGTGTAGGGCTGACTGTGTGAAGGCTGTGGCACGGCCTCAGCCACGTTTGTCTAGATTGGGGCAGATGATGAGATCACGGTGTCGAAGAACACAGGTTTACAGAAGGTGATCCCTGAGAACGTCCGACATGGAAATGCCACAGGCAGGAGCAGCCATGTCTACCCATGAGCTTTCCTATGACTCCCTGGGGATCAAGGAGGAGGCAGCCGTCCTGAGCACAGTTCAGAATGGAAGGAGCCACTGCGTGATCCTGAAGCCACTGCCCGGTGGGGCTGAACCCCATTTCTGAAGTAACCACTAAATCCATGTTGGTGGCCTACACCCCAACTCACATTCAGGGACCTGGTGGGTACAGAAACCCAGAAACACACATTTTAGTTTTTGGTCTCGCTCTGTCACCCAGGCTGGAGTGTAGTTGTGCAATCTTGGGTCACTGCAACCTCCCCTTCCTGACTTCAAGCAATTCTCCTGCCTCAGCCTCTCAACTAGCTGGGATTACATGCACACTTATGCGGAGCTGTAATGCCTCACGAGTCACTAGGTCAGGCTAATTTTTGAATTTTTAGTAGAGACAGGATTTCACCATAATTTCCAGGGTGGTCTTGAACTCCTGACCTTAGGTGATCCATCCACCTTGGCCTCCCAAAGTGCTGGGATTACAAGCATGAGCTACCACACCTGGTCTTCAATTCTTCATTGCATGCCCTGTGATGTGGGCACAGTGCTTGCGTAGAGGCGTTTCTGACTTGGGCAGTGGCTTCTTGTCAGATTGGACTCAGGAGATGATGTACAGGCAGGTGGTGACCATGCTTTGAGGAGCCACGTGGCCAAAATGTGGAGGAACTGCTGTCACCCGTCAACAGCTACCTTGTCAGAAGCTGAAGGCCACGTGCAGCTTGTGGCTTTCTCTTCCCAAATTCAATCCCACCTCAGTAAGTTGTACGGAACATAAACAAACACGTGCATTTACCAATAACAACAAATAGACTCATGAGTCCACACAGGAAAATCAAGAATGATTGCCAGTATTCGCATAAGACCCTGAGATTTCCATCTTGAAGAAAACCTTCCAATGTCACCATTATGTTACCATGATAACACATTACATGGAATGCAATGCTATTTCTTTATGTATCAGATTTAGTTCAGTTATTATTGACTAAATGATAGATATTGCCTTTTTTGACCTCAATTTAATAGAACATCTTTGCACCACCGATCTAAAACTTTCCTTCATTTATGTACAATCATATTTGAAGTTGATTGGTATTATGGTGTATAGTTTATTTGATTCAAGTTTGTTGCCACATAATCTTAATGTATACGTGCAACATGTACAATTGTCAAATTGACTTTTAATGTATGTGTCTACATGAATGACAACACTATCAAGATTCCTATGAATATGTCATCATGCAAATGCATGCATTTTCCTCTAGGGCATACAGTTCTGGGTCAGACTTGTGTGTCTCTTTCTTTAAAAAGACAATTCTAGGCCGGGTGCGGTGGCTCAAGCCTGTAATCCCAGCACTTTGGGAGGCCGAGGCAGGTGGATCACAAGGTCAAGAGATCAAGACCATCCTGGTCAATATGGATGAAATGCCGTCTCTACTAAAAATACAAAACATTAGCTGGGCATGGTGGCGCGTGCCTGTAATCCTAGCTACCCAGGAGGCTGAGGCAGGAGAATTGCCTGAACCCAGGAGGCGGAGGTTGCGGTGAGCCGAGATCGCACCATTGCACTCCAGCCTGGGTAACAAGAGCGAAACTCCGACTCAAAAAAAAAAAAAAAAAAAAAAAAAAAAAAAAGACAATTCTAAAATAGTACTCAAATGGACGGATGCAATCGGGACTTCTATCCTCAGTCTGCAGGAGTTCTAAAATACTTAACATTTCTTCCACAGTTGATAATCGCCATTGTTTTAGGGAAAGTGATTTAGAATTTGTTATCAAATTTCACTGAAATGGCAGCACCACACCGACTTGTAAATTATCGTCCTGTGACCCATTAAATATAAGGAACATGTGCACATTGATGCTCTCAGTGAGGCGCGCTGCAGCTGGCGCACACTCACTTGCCAAAGACAATTCCATTCTCCACGTTCCAAATCAGCAGTCAGGGCATTGGCACGGCCACTTTGAAGCTGGCCATGAAGAGAGTATTTATACCAAAATAAAGAGGCAAATGCTACAAGACAGAGCTTTTAAATAATATTTTTTCATAGAATTGGGTCACCAGCATGCCTGCAGCCTGGCACTTTAAGTGTGCGCTGACATTCAAATGTATAGTATTTTTGAAGCAATACTATACATTTCTTCCAAGTGTCATCTGATGGAGGGAGATGAGTTTGAGGATTCCCAAGGGGCTTTTAGCAAATGATTATAGACTTCTTAGTTTCAAACTTATTTTTACCCATTTATTCCATCATCTGAACCATATTCTGTGTCTTGAGCTGAAGAGGCAGAGCTCAATAGCACAGATGAGGGACTATCTTAACTAAAAGTCAGTGACAATGCATTCCAAGAAGATCAGAGCAGGGAGTTTATGTTGGTGTGGGTCTGCACCTGCCATGGGTGACGTACCCTCATTTTATAAGGTAAGCAAATCAGAGACAGAAGTCAAGGAAAGCCAATAACAGTAGGAAGGGAAGACATCAGAATTTAATTGAGGAAGAGTTCTGAACTAGAACTCTCGAACACGATGACATTTATTTGTCCATATTCTCTGCAGACAGTTCACCCAATATATGATGATGATTTCCTTCCAAAGCCTTCTGGGGTCATGAGATTTGATTTTAAGTCTCTGTTGTTCTAAATGGTGCTTTGTTTTCTATCATTGTCCTCTTCTTCCTGCATATTGGGTGTTTTTCCTTTTTTCTGACTGTGCATGACTCCAGTAGGAAGACTCCAAGGACCAAAAGGACCAAGACAGCCACGCCCATCCTGATGAGATTCCCTTCTGTGTAATCGTGGGGATGTGAGCCTAGAAATTGTGGGCAAAGATGTCACCAAAGCAGTGAAGACCAAAATCATCCTAAAGTCCCTGGATGCCCATGCAGGTCACCCACCTTCCCCTGTGCAGTCATAACCTTTCAGCCTGATCCGTAACTGAGAACACCTCTGTATTCAGCAGCCTGCCTTCTGAGGTGTTTTTTAATGACCTCCTGATATCAGCTGCCCCGCAGAACCACAGAGAGAGGGGGAATCTGAGGAAACCTAGGGGGATTAACTATGCTATTCTCCGATGCTCAGTATGTCTCTTAAATCAGCTCAATCACTTGAGAAAAGCATGTTCGGTAGAGAAGAGAATTTGGAGCTGCAGGTTTTCTGAGCAGCAGGAAAATAAAAAAGACTGGAGTTACCAGTTACCTTTCCTTTGCTTCACCCAAAGTATTACTTTATCTCTGGCTCAGAATTATGTATTTCCATCCCGCTTTTTATTTATCCATCAACCTGCTTTAATCAAATAAATGGAAAAATATCTGCAATGCATTCAGCGTTTTGTCTCTAGGATCCAAGAATACTTCAATTAATATAAGTAATTGCTTGCAAATATCTACATGTATAAGATAGGCTCTATCAATTTTACAAAAGTAGCACCAGAACACCAGCTCTCTGGGGGAGAAATAGAGAATACTGCACACGTGTTCATTTAACAGGTGTTTTGGAAAATGACAGGACCAGGCTCAGAACGTGGCGTTCCTGAAAATTGGGACAAACTTTTTCTTCCTTTGTTTGCTTCCTACAGTGGCCACTGAATAGATCCCTAGTGGGCTGATGTTCCAGGAGGGGTGCCTTTCTGCACCTCCTTTCCCAGAGAGGCACTGGCACAGAGGTTCAGGACTGATGGATCCCTTTGGTTTTCTGGCTAAAATGCTGCCTTTCATACATAAGAAAATGAAGTCCCAAATTTGGATAGAATTGTGTGCATATGCTCAATCTAAAGAGTGTCTGGATCGGCTCTACTAAAGTTAATAATTCTCAGGGAATACCTCAACCATCTTGAGCCCAAAAAGTTCTCTACTCCTATAGTGGGGCAGATTCCATGGGTTCCTGGGTTGCCTCTTTGAAGCCTGTAGGATCAGCGCCCTGGAGAGGGGCGAGAGGTGGGCTTTGCTCTTCTCTCCTTCCTCAGCTGGGACAGTTCCTTCAAGAATTTCCTTTCTCACCCACCACCCAACCAGCACCAACGACTGCAATGCTTGGGACTTAAATCCCTTCTCTTCATTCCAGGCTCCCCTCAAGCTCCTCTGGAAACAACCACTTCCATAAAGATCGCAGGTGCAGAAGGAGAGGGAATCCCCAGCGATTCACAAACGAGGGTGAAGAATTCTTTGCTCACCAGTTTCAGGGGTCGGCTCCATGGGTGACAGGAAAGTACTCTGAGGGATTCCTAGGAAAAAAGACAGAGAATGGGTGTCCAAGAGTCCTTCCTCACCCCACTGAGGTAAGAGCATTCTGTGTAGAGCGTCTGTCCCCTGCCCACCCCCTACTCTGCCCTTCACCTAATGACTAATGCAGGTCCTGAGGTCTCTTGTCAGAATCCTTTGAGAACAGACTCCCTCCCCTGAGACGTGAAAAAGGAGAGAGGGCTGAGAGATGCCTGGTGATGTCAAGAGACCTTATCTACAACGGGATAATAAATATCTACATTCACCAAATGGGAAATCTCTCTGTGTCTGAGAGGTCAGGAGGAGCTCCTGGAAAATGGATAAGGGTGAGGGGCTGTTGCAACCCTTATCTCCCTAATCTTTATCTGGCCTCCCCTGCTCCGGTGTTTGACTGACCCAGTTCTTCATTCACCTGGATTTGTAGGCCCCCAAGGTGGGGCCTCCACACAGGACATGCAGAAGGGTGTGGAAGTGCCCTGATTCCTGTCCTACACCCTGACGGCACTGGCCATTCTCAGCCTCTCTTTTTCTATGTATTTATCATGGCTTCCTTTTGTCCAGAATACCTAATGCCCCTGTGTGCCCAGTGGGATGCCCCTCTGGTATGGCTCTGGGACTTAGTGGGCAGCAGGGCAGGCAGCAGGCGTGGGCTCCTCACCTGTGACGGAAAGGTGCAGGGGCTCACTGGGGGCCGACCACTCATACGGGGAGGCATTGAAAGAACCGTAGCATCTATAGGTCCCGCCATGGGCTGGCGTCGCGAGGCCCATGGAAAAGTTGGCCTGGAACGCTCCCCCGTGTCTCTGCCCTCCACTGAGCCACTGGCAATGAGGAGCCCCCTCTCTCCACAGATGGTACCGGTCAAATGAGATTTCAGAGATGCAGAATAACGTCACGTTCTCTCCCAGCCCCATCATGGGGCCCACCTGGGTGGAGAGAGAAGGCTTTTTGTGTTTTCCTGGAAGAAAAAGAGGCTGGCTTTAGAACACACTTGTGAGTGCATGAATAAAGTCCTCTCTCTCCCTGCTCTTATCTTGGGGGCAGATTCCGAATGCCGGCTGGCGCCTCTGTCCACCTCATCTTCCTCTCTAGGGTCCTGCCCTGGCCTGTGTCTGGGTCGTTTTACTTCCTCTGCATTTCGTAGTTTCCCCGTTGCTTTTGACTGTGTCTCTGTGGCTTACTGCCCCTTGAAGCCATATGAGGTGTGGGGTTCTCCCGGAAAATGGGAGTTACTTTGTGCTTTGAGAGGCTTCAGAAAACAGAGTGCTGGCCTTGGGTTCCCTGACATGGGACTATGGGGTTATGAGAGTCTTCAACTCTGTGTGTTGAAAAATACAAGAATATCTGGAGGAGCAGAAGGAACCTCACCGACTCCCACTGCAGGGAACAAATGCCTTTGCCCCCAAACCCAAGGAGGTAGACGTGACAACTTGCCGGGGACGGTGAAAGTGACCCCTCCTCCCTCCTTAAGCACTAAGACATGGTGAACCCGTTTGCTGAGCTCCTCCTCACAGTCCTTCTGTTCCTTCACTTTTCTTCCTCTCCTGAGGTTTAACTGACAACCCCATCACCCCGTGAAGCTCCCAGGGCAGCAGTGGAGCAGGATGGTCCGGCCACACCCACCTGTGATCACAATCTCCAGGGGGTCACTGGGAGCCGAGCACTCATAGCGGGAGTGACTGAAAGAACCACAGCATCTGTAGGCTCCCGTGTGGGCCGGCGTCACGGGACCCAGGCGGAAGACAGCCTCGACGTAGTGAGTCCCAGCCTCCATCCCCTCGTCGAGCTCCTGGGAATGCTGTGTGTGCCCCTCTTTGTATAAGATAAAGTCATCAAATGCCAGCTCCGAGTGACAGCGCACGGTCACCCTGGCTCCCGCAGCCACCAGGGCGCTTGGGTGTGCTGAGATGGAGGGTTTTCTGAACGCACCTGGGAGCAAAGACAGAGGAGTTCCCATGGGTCGCCTTCCTCACCCCTCCCCTGGGATCTCAGGGTGAAGCTCTCCCTCGTCACCCCCAAAGCCCATCCACGTCCTTCCTGTCTGTGTGCGTGTTCTCTCTGCACGGCTCCCCGGGCTCTGCCTTGAGGCCACGTGAGACCTGCGGTGCTCCTGGAACGCGGGACTTGCTCTGTGCTTTGAGAACCTCCAGAAAGCACAGTGCTGGCCTTGGGATCCCTGACATGGGACCGAGAGATTATGAACCTCACTATTTTTCAACTCTGTGTGTTGAAAAATACAAGAATCTCCAGAGGATTAGAAAGAACCTCCCAGGTTCCCACTGCTGGAAACAACTAGTTTTCCTCCAAAACCCAAGAGGTTGTAGGTGACTACTTGGAGGGGAAGGTGGCAGTGACTCTTTTTCCTACTTAGGCGGAAGGACATGGCAGACGCCTTTGCTGGCAGCTCCCCACAGCCTCAGCCTCCATCCAGACCCTCCGGGAGCTTTCGTAGCCTGGATCTCCCTGCCTCACCCCGACCTGCTTTCCTCCCTTCTCTTGCTAGAAAGACTCAACCTCTTGTCTGTTCCTCCTGAGCTCATTGAATGTGACACTCACTCCACACTCTCCCTTCCCTGCTTTATAGGATGCGCAGGGCGACTCTACAGGAGGAGTTTGTAACTTTCTGTGGGACATTCTGCACACCCATCAGAGAGAAGGGACCAATGTCAGGAAACTGAGAAGGAGGAGGAGGGAGGAATGGGTGCCTTTCCCAATCATGTCCCACTGAGCCACCAGACACATCTCCCGAGGGAACTGTGACTTCCCCAAGGCTTTGGCTCCTTCAAGGCAGGGAAACTTCCCTGGGGAAACGCTGGAGCTGGGGTCAGGGGACATTGCTCCTCGCTGGATCTGCCCCACTGGAGTTGGAACCAGCACCCTGCACCTGCTGCTTCCCAGGGAGATTGTCCTGCTGCTCGGCTTCCTCCCTCCTCCTCCACCAGGGAAGCTGATTCCTCACATGAAGTGCCCTGTCTTTAAATTCTCAGGGTGGCTTCTGTGTCCACAGTGAGTGCGTGACCAGGAACCCCACAGTGACTCTCTGGCTTCAGTGGGTGTGGACTCTGGGAAAGTCTCATTTCATTAGGGTATACTAAGACTTTACTTTTTCTTCACAGTAGCCACGGCAGTTTAAATTCTGATGAACCGTCATCGTTAACAGGAATGAGCTCCTTCCCCAGTGCTAACATGAAGGAGGCAGCAGCCTGAGTCCTGCTCACCTCTCATCTGCAGTCGGTGGAGGGAAGTCAACACACCCCACCAAACCTCCAGTTTCTTTTGCACATTGGACAATTTCTTCTGCTGTTTTGCCATCCTGGAGGAAGGCAAAATCCACACACAAAATAGCCTCTCCCACTGGAAGCTCTGTGAGCTCTGGTCACCGTGCTGTGTCTTAGATCTCTAGAACATTGTCATCCTGCAACTCTGGGAAGGACACCTAGTGGACACGGGACGGGCTGGACTTCTCCTACCTGTGACCACGATCGTCAGGGACTTGCTGTGAGCTGACCACTGTGAGGTGTGGCTGAAAGATCCAGAACATCTGTAGGTCCCTGCGTGTCCTGGGGTCACGGGGCTGATGGTGAAGTTGCTGGAATGACCAGTGTGCAACTCACGGTCCTGGGTCCCAGATGTTTTGTATATTGTGAATGTGACAAACCGAAGAGGAGAATCACAGGAGAGAGTCACACGTCCTCCCAGGGGAACCACAGGGCTCGGCCGGGCTGACAGCGAGAGCTTGTCGGGAGCACCTGGAGGAGGAGGAGGCGCAGCCTAGAGAGGGAAGCATGGAGCCCCCCCCACTGTCGCTGGGGCTTTCCTTCTTCACATTGGTCTGCTTCGCCCTGTAACGTGGGTCCCCTGAGGCCCTGGGTACCTGGTGGTGGGACAGGGACACAGCCCACCCCAGAGTGGACATGGAAGGCCTTCCCAGAACGGCGTTCTACTGGGCATGGTGACACAACATGGAGCCAAGTTGCTCCTAACTTTTGTCTACAACAGCAGACATGTGTGCGTGGAAGAGAAGGAGGAAACCGACCAGATTCAAGCAGTACAAAAACACATCGACTCATTTAAACAATTCCCAACACAAATGCCCGGCACCCGGTCCCTGCCTCCCGACACAGAGTGCCCCAACCCGCCCCCAGACACCTGGATTCTCAACATCACAGGCTCCTTCAGGAGACTGGATGAGCCCGAGGGGCTGCCCACAGGGGGTTTCTAGAACAAGATGGAGCCTGGGGTCTCCCCAGGACCCCCCTTCCTGTGTTTTTGGGGCTCACGGCAAAGCCCTCCCCACGTCATCTGGGTCGTCCTGACTTCGCATCCACCCTCCCTGCCTGGAGAATGCTTTGCGTTTGGCCAACATGGCGTCCCAGGACTGGGACAGGACTCACCCGCCTGTGTGCACATCTTCTGGCCCAGGCACAATCCTGGGGAAGAAACAAAAGAAAAAAGCAACAACCAGCGATGGCGTGTCTGCACGTGAATCCTGCCCGCCTCGTCACGGTGTGTCAGCTCAGCCTGGGTTCAGAGGGTGGACGAACCTGGCTTCCCACGCCCAGTCCCGGCTTGTGCAGAGGCCGGGTCTTCAAGAGAGCATTTTCCATCCCAACCCTGCCCTCCTTTCCCTTCCAGGACTCACCCAGACACAGGACGGCGATGAGTTTGGGAGCCATGGCGCCTCTTCTATTGGGCGGGACACAGGGGTTGAGCTGAATTGGAAAATGAACAGGATGTGGCAGCCATGGTTTCGCAGTTTGCAGAGCTTAAAGGTTGCCCCCCACACAGGAAGATGACCAGCCTCACTCTAAACATAGGGGGTGACACAGACAGTATTCTTGGTTCAACAGAGCCCCTAGCAAAGCCCTGACTTGAATCCCCACACTAAACAATCCATAATGTCTTTTTTTTTCTCTCTTTGAGATGGAGTCTTGGTCTGTCCCCAGGCTGCAGTGCAGTGGCGCGATCTCAGCTCACTGCAACCTCTGCCTCCCGGGTTCAAGCGATTCTTCTGTCTCAGCCTTCTGAGTAGCTGGGATTGCAGGTGCGTGCCACCACGTCTGGCTAATTTTTTTTTTTAGTAGAGACGGGGGTTCACCATGTTGGCCAGGATGGTCTTGATCTCTTGACCTCCTGATCCGCCTGCCTCAGCCTCCCAAAGTGCTGGGATTACAGGCGTGAGTCTCAATTTCAAAGTTAACTTTTCTACGTGCAAAATTGTAGAATGGTATCTTAATATCTTGCTGCCTTTTCTGAGAACTACACATGATTGGATTTCTGTTACGCAATGTTCTCCTGCCAAATGAAAATAGATGCATTGCCAGTGCCATAAAACGGCCGTACAATAAAACGGAAATGTTTATTCTGTTATGTTCAAAATGTTGCAAATTGAGAATGATATTCGAGTTCTTAAATGTTTCCTCCGTGCTTCCATAAGTTAAGAACAACAAAAGTTGGTTTTGTGTCATTAACACAAAACATATAATTGATATGTCATTACGCTGTGTCTCGTCACATCCCAGTGTACGCTTACTTCTTAGATCTTTAATTTACATTAAATAAAAATTGCACTGGATTAAAACCGTTGACTTCACAAAGTTGTTGGCCTCATTCCAACGTGTAAACACTACTAAGCTGCCTTCCTGGCAAGAAACCCACAACACCGTCAAGTGCATCAAGTGCATGCGAGCAACGTCGGATCAGCGAGTTCTCCTCATTTTTAACCTCCTCAGTGCATGCTCTATATTTTCAAGTGGGTATTTGCCTCATGTTTTGCTTGAAGGGTGACCGTCCTCTGTTGAAGTCTTGAACTTTACAACTCTCACTTCCAAGTCAATAAAGTATAACACATTTTATGAATCATAGAGCAGTGTTTAATATTTGGCATCATTGATTGGTAAAGAATCTCATGGAGGATACATTTGCCTACAGGTACAGATGTGTGTATCACAGCACTTAATATGTTTTTCTATTGTAGAATATATTTAATTACATGTTAACATCAAATTCATCTTCTGTCATATGTAATTAGGTATTTTCTGTAAGTGGAAGACACAACAGAATCTGACAACCATTGCTGGGAGTTATAGGGTCATCACTCTGAAAAAAAAAATGTGTTCTCATCTAGTTTATTTTTACCTTGACATTCCCTGGGTCCCGCAGTTCCGCGCTGGGGTGTGAACTCAGGGAAACCCACTCATACAATCCAGGACACACAGGCAAGAATGTTCAGGGCAACCTTTGTCCACAAAGCAAAATGCCTGGTGAAAACATACATCACGTCAGCCAGAAAGGGCAAAGACATTGAGGATATGCAGGCCGTTGATTGCAGTCTGTCTGCTGGTAAATTTAAACAAGTATGCAGAGTGTTAAACGACTACAGCAGTATCATTTTACAAGCAGAAACACAAAACAAACTGTCCTTTGTTCTGTATTTAAAATGTAAACATATATACACAGACACACACGCAAATATTACCGGATGGTGGCTATGATGTGGAAGACACATATTTACAAAAACAACACGGACGACGTTCAAAATTGTGCGTGTGTGCTTTGAGAAGCCCTGGGACAGGTGAGAGACAAAGCATGAGTTGATCCTATTCCTGTGAAAATGCTCCGTTTTTTTTCAGTGGTGATTTCACAGGGCTTTTTTTCTTGCTATAATCTTACTAATTTTTTAGTAATATGAGCTGGCTTTTGGGGAGCACCTTCAGCATTATATGCACATATGTTTGTGTTATTCATTTTTTTATATATGTATGTAAATATATATATATATAAAGAGAAAGAGTTGAGTTTTCTGGAAGAGAAATATGGAGATCTGTGTCTTCAATCACGAGGCAAGGAAGGATTTCAGAGAAATCATCAAGAACCAGGATTTGCACGCTTAGTTCTGTGTTAATAACACAAAATCAATTTTCATTATTGTTAACTTACTGAAGCACGGGAGAAAACTTTAAGAAGTTGAAAATCGTCCCCAGTTTGCAAGTAATGAATTTGCCACTTTGAACATAACAGAATAAATATTTCCGTTTTATTGTACAATCATTTTACAATGCTGACAATAAATCTATTTTTATTTGGCAGGAAAATGTGCGTAACAGAAATCAAATCATGCATAGTTCTCAAAAAAGGCAATAAGATATTCAGATACCGTTCTACAATTTTGCACGTAGAAAAGTTAAATGTGAAATTTAGATATTAGTGGGTTGATCAGTGTTGGGGTTAAGGTCGGGCCTTTGCTAGGGGCTCTGTTGAACCAAGAATACTGTCTGTGTCACCCCCTATGTTTAGAGTGAGGCTGGTCATCTTCCTGTGTGGGGGGCAACCTTTGAGCTCTGCAAACTGCGAAACCGTGGCTGCCACATCCTGTTCATTTTCCAATTCAGCTCAACCCCTGTGTCCCGCCCAATAGAAGAGGCGCCATGGCTCCCAAACTCATCGCCGTCCTGTGTCTGGGTGAGTCCTGGAAGGGAAAGGAGGGCAGGGTTGGGATGGAAAATGCTCTCTTGAAGACCCGGCCTCTGCACAAGCCGGGACTGGGCGTGGGAAGCCAGGTTCGTCCACCCTCTGAACCCAGGCTGAGCTGACACACCGTGACGAGGCGGGCAGGATTCACGTGCAGACACGCCATCGCTGCTTGTTGCTTTTTTGTTTTGTTTCTTCCCCAGGATTGTGCCTGGGCCAGAAGATGTGCACACAGGCGGGTGAGTCCTATCCCAGTCCTGGGACACCATGTTGGCCAAACGCAAAGCGTTCTCCAGGCAGGGAGGGTGGACGCGAAGTCAGGACGACCCAGATGACGTGGGGAGGGCTTTGCCGTGAGCCCCAAAAACACAGGAAGGGGGGTCCTGGGGAGACCCCAGGCTCCATCTTGTTCTAGAAACCCCCTGTGGGCAGCCCCTCGGGCTCATCCAGTCTCCTGAAGGAGCCTGTGATGTTGAGAATCCAGGTGTCTGGGGGCGGGTTGGGGCACTCTGTGTCGGGAGGCAGGGACCCGGTGCCGGGCATTTGTGTTGGGAATTGTTTAAATGAGTCGATGTGTTTTTGTACTGTTTGAATCTGGTCGGTTTCCTCCTTCTCTTCCACGCACACATGTCTGCTGTTGTAGACAAAAGTTAGGAGCAACTTGGCTCCATGTTGTGTCACCATGCCCAGTAGAACGCCGTTCTGGGAAGGCCTTCCATGTCCACTCTGGGGTGGGCTGTGTCCCTGTCCCACCACCAGGTACCCAGGGCCTCAGGGGACCCACGTTACAGGGCGAAGCAGACCAATGTGAAGAAGGAAAGCCCCAGCGACAGTGGGGGGGGCTCCATGCTTCCCTCTCTAGGCTGCGCCTCCTCCTCCTCCAGGTGCTCCCGACAAGCTCTCGCTGTCAGCCCGGCCAAGCCCTGTGGTTCCCCTGGGAGGACGTGTGACTCTCTCCTGTGATTCTCCTCTTCGGTTTGTCACATTCACAATATACAAAACATCTGGGACCCAGGACCGTGAGATGCACACTGGCCTTTCCAAAGACTTCACCATCAGCCCCGTGACCCCAGGACATGCAGGGACCTACAGATGTTCTGGATCTTTCAGCCACACCTCACAGTGGTCAGCTCGCAGCAACTCCCTGACGATCGTGGTCACAGGTAGGAGAAGTCCAGCCCGTCCCGTGTCCACTAGGTGTCCTTCCCAGAGTTGCAGGATGACAATGTTCTAGAGATCTAAGACACAGCACGGTGACCAGAGCTCACAGAGCTTCCAGTGGGACAGGCTATTTTGTGTGTGGATTTTGCCTTCCTCCAGGATGGCAAAACAGCAGAAGAAATTGTCCAATGTGCAAAAGAAACTGGAGGTTTGGTGGGGTGTGTTGACTTCCCTCCACCGACTGCAGATGGGAGGTGAGCAGGACTCAGGCTGCTGCCCGCTTCATGTTAGCACTGGGGAAGGAGCTCATTCCTGTTAACGATGACGGTTCATCAGAATTTAAACTGCCGTGGCTACTGTGAAGAAAAAGTAAAGTCTTAGTATACCCTAATGAAATGAGACTTTCCCAGAGTCCACACCCAGTGAAGCCAGAGAGTCACTGTGGGGTTCCTGGTCACGCACTCACTGTGGACACAGAAGCCACCCTGAGAATTTAAAGACAGGGCATTTCACGTGAGGAATCAGCTTCCCTGGTGGAGGAGGAGGGAGGAAGCCGAGCAGCAGGACAATCTCCCCGGGAAGCAGCAGGTGCAGGGTGCTGGTTCCAACTCCAGTGGGGCGGATTCAGCGAGGAGCAATGTCCCCTGACCCCAGCTCCAGCGTTTCCCCAGGGAAGTTTCCCTGCCTTGAAGGAGCCAAAGCCTTGGGGAAGTCACAGTTCCCTCGGGAGATGTGTCTGGTGGCTCAGTGGGACATGATTGGGAAAGGCACCCATTCCTCCCTCCTCCTCCTTCTCAGTTTCCTGACATTGGTCCCGTCTCTCTGATGGGTGTGCAGAATGTCCCACAGAAAGTTACAAACTCCTCCTGTAGAGTCGCCCTGCCCATCCTATAAAGCAGGGAAGGGAGAGTGTGGAGTGAGTGTCACATTCAATGAGCTCAGGAGGAACAGACAAGAGGTTGAGTCTTTCTAGCAAGAGAAGGGAGGAAAGCAGGTCGGGGTGAGGCAGGGAGATCCAGGCTACGAAAGCTCCCGGAGGGTCTGGATGGAGGCTGAGGCTGTGGGGAGCTGCCAGCAAAGGCGTCTGCCATGTCCTTCCGCCTAAGTAGGAAAAAGAGTCACTGCCACCTTCCCCTCCAAGTAGTCACCTATAACCTCTTGGGTTTTGGAGCAAAACTAGTTGTTTCCAGCAGTGGGAACCTGGGAGGTTCTTTCCAATCCTCTGGAGATTCTTGTATTTTTCAACACACAGAGTTGAAAAATAGTGAGGTTCATAATCTCTCGGTCCCATGTCAGGGATCCCAAGGCCAGCACTGTGCTTTCTGGAGGTTCTCAAAGCACAGAGCAAGTCCTGCGTTCCAGGAGCACCGCAGGTCTCACGTGGCCTCAAGGCAGAGCGCGGGGAGCCGTGCAGAGAGAACACGCACACAGACAGGAAGGACGTGGATGGGCTTTGGGGGTGACGAGGGAGAGCTTCACCCTGAGGTCCCAGGGGAGGGGTGAGGAAGGCGACCCATGGGAACTCCTCTGTCTTTGCTCCCAGGTGCGTTCAGAAAACCCTCCATCTCAGCACACCCAAGCTCCCATGTGGCTGCGGGAACCAGGGTGACCGTGCGCTGTCACTCGGAGCTGGCATTTGATGACTTTATCTTATACAAAGAGGGGCACACACAGCATTCCCAGGAGCTCGACGAGGGGATGGAGGCTGGGACTCACTACGTCGAGGCTGTCTTCCGCCTGGGTCCCGTGACGCCGGCCCACACGGGAGCCTACAGATGCTGTGGTTCTTTCAGTCACTCCCGCTATGAGTGCTCGGCTCCCAGTGACCCCCTGGAGATTGTGATCACAGGTGGGTGCGGCCGGACCATCCTGCTCCACTGCTGCCCTGGGAGCTTCACGGGGTGATGGGGTTGTCAGTTAAACCTCAGGAGAGGAAGAAAAGTGAAGGAACAGAAGGACTGTGAGGAGGAGCTCAGCAAACGGGTTCACCATGTCTTAGTGCTTAAGGAGGGAGGAGGGGTCACTTTCACCGTCCCCGGCAAGTTGTCACGTCTACCTCCTTGGGTTTGGGGGCAAAGCCATTTGCTCCCTGCAGTGGGAGTCGGTGAAGTTCCTTCTGCTTCTCCAGAGATTCTTGTATTTTTCAACACACAGAGTTGAAATATAATGACTCTCATAACCCCATAGTCCCATGTCAGGGAACCCAAGGCCAGCCCTCTGTTTTCTGAAGCCTCTCAAAGCACAAAGTAACTCCCGTTTTCCGGGAGAACCCCACACCTCATATGGCTTCAAGGGGCAGTAAGCCACAGAGACACAGTCAAAAGCAACGGGGAATCTATGAAATGCAGAGGAAGTAAAACGACCCAGACACAGGCCAGGGCAGGACCCTAGAGAGGAAGATGAGGTGGACAGAGGCGCCAGCCGGCATTCGGAATCTGCCCCCAAGATAAGAGCAGGGAGAGAGAGGACTTTATTCATGCACTCACGAGTGTGTTCTAAAGTCAGTCTCTTTTTCTTCCAGGAAAACACAAAAAGCCTTCTCTCTCCACCCAGGTGGGCCCCATGATGGGGTTGGGAGAGAACGTGACGTTATTCTGCATTTCTGAAATCTCATTTGACCGGTACCATCTGTGGAGAGAGGGGGCTCCTCATTGCCAGTGGCTCAGTGGAGGGCAGAGACACGGGGGAGCGTTCCAGGCCAACTTTTCCGTGGGCCTCGCGACGCCAGCCCATGGCGGGACCTATAGATGCTACGGTTCTTTCAATGCCTCCCCGTATGAGTGGTCAGCCCCCAGTGAGCCCCTGCACCTTTCCGTCACAGGTGAGGCGCCCACGCCTGCTGCCTGCCCTGCTGCCCACTAAGTCCCAGAGCCATACCAGAGGGGCATCCCACTGGGCACACAGGGGCATTAGGTATTCTGGACAAAATGAAGTGGTGAAAAATACGGACAGGAATGAAGAGGCTGAGCAGGATGGGGCTGTCAGGGCGTAGGGCGGTCGACAGGCAGCTCCACACCCTCTGCCACCTCCTGTATGAAGAAAGAGGTCAGGACAAGCACAGGCGGAGGTGAGGCCAGATAGAGTTTGTGGAGATCAGAGGTTGCCTCTGCCCCTCGCCCTTTTCCATTTTCTCCGAAGCCCCTCCTGACCCCTCACCACAGAGAGACTTCCCTGTTGGAGAAGGTGGATATTTATCGTCCCAATGGGAGAAACGTCTGCTGACATCCCCATCCATCTCCTGGTCACGTTCCCGTCTCAGGGAAGGAATCGCCCCCCAGAGATTCCAAGGAAGGGACCCCAGGACCCCCCTTAGTCTTTAGGTGGATGACAGGGTAGAAGGTAGACAGGGACGAACCCTCCAAAGAAAATGGTTCTACTGCTCAGGAGGCTGAGGCAGGAGAATCGCTTGAAGCCAGGAGACGGAGGTTGCAGTGAGGTGAGATTGCACCACTGCACTCCAGCCTTGGCGACAGAGTGAGACTCCATCTCAAAAAAGAAAGTAAAGAAAGAAAAAAGAAAATGGTCCTACTTTAATGGGGCAGTCAATGGCTCTTGCTCACCCTTCCTCTGCCTTATTTCTCCCTAGGAGACCCGAAGAGTACTCATCTGTTGTTCATGGAATCCACCCCTGAATCTGGTAAGCAAATAACGCTTATCCTAGTGTCTGAGTCCCTGGGGAGACGGAAGGCTCCTGTGTGAGTGAAGGCTGTGCCACCTCCCAGCTCTGTGACTTTGGGCTAGGCAGCCCCTCCCAGGCCCCCAGATTCCTCATCTGCATCTGAAACTGTGGTCCGTGCGGGGATCTGTAAGGCCTCTCAGCCTCCGCTGCTTTGGGACTGAGGCCTCGTCCACAGGGAGGAAGAGGTCAGAGTGGCCTGAACCCTGCTGAGAAGCAATGCTTATCATTCCTCCAAGGAGATCTGTGAACATGAATATGCTAGAAGATGCGAAGAATTTAGAGGACCATATGAAATATTTATTGTCTCTCTTGTTGTTTTTTGGTTTTTGTTTTTGAGACAGAGTTTTGCTCTGTTAACCAGGCTGGAGTGCAGTAGCATGATCCCGGCTCAGTGCAACCTCCATCTCTGGGGTTCAAGTGATTCTCCTGCCTGAACCTCGAGAGTAGATGGGATTACAGGTGCCTGCCACCACACTGGGCTAATTTTTGTATTTTTAGTGGAGATGGGGTTTCACCACGTTGGCCAGGCTGGTCTCGAACTCCTGACCTCAGGTGATCCACCCATCTTGGCCTCCTAAAGTGCTGGGATTACAGGCACGAGCCACCGTGCCTGGCGGAAGACAAAGGTTTTAGTCAGAAATGTGTCGTGATCCACATTCTATTTTAGAGATAGCAGTCGGCCGACGTAAACAGCATTTATTGCAGGGAAGCAGGAGTGGAAGCCATGAGCCTGGTGAAGTGTGACATCCTGGTGGAGGACACTCATGGTGGCTTAGACAGGCCGGGGCTGGATAAGGAGTTGAGAAGGTGGATTCAGGGCAGGCTCAGAGGGGGACTCACTAAGAGGGAGAGTTCAGAACCTTGTTCTGATGTTCCTCAGTGCATGACCCTGGGCACACTCATTTCTCTCTGATCCTCAGTTTCCGCTGATGGAAACTCATACTTGGGCTATCAGAGAAGGGGCAGCTCAGCAGGGAGCCTTATGGGGGACATAGTCCTTGAAAGACTATAATCAGACACTTGGGCTCAATGGATGGTTCTGCTAGTTATGATCACTCATCTTGGGAACGGCCTGTTTTCTGTCTTTTCTTCCTCCCCTCCCTTCCCCTCTCCCCTCTCCTCCCCCTCCTGCCCTTCCCCCACTCCCCCTCCCCTTCTCTCCCCTCCCCTTCCCTTCCTTCCTTCCTTTTGAGACAGAGTCTCTCCCTGTGCAGTGGGATGAAATTGTCTCACTGCAGTGTCCACGTCCCGGGTTCAAGCGATTCTCCTGCCTCAGCCTCCCGAGTAGTTGGGATTACAGGCATGTACCATCATCATGCCTGACTAATTTTTATATTTTTAGTAGAGACAGGGTTTCGCCATGTTGGCCAGGCTGATCTCAAACTCCTGACCTCGGGTGATCCATCTGCCTCGGACTAAGTGCTGGGATTGCAGGTGTGAGCCACCACACCCAGTCTTCACATCTCCTTTGCAGGCTCTTTGATTTGGACACGAGTCTTCACTTCTCTTGGAATTTTTTGTACGCAATGGAAAATGGAGAAAGTAACTGTTCAGGCCTAGGGATCCGGGAAGAATTTCAGATAAAGCATATCATGCATTCAGTATGTGTTGGCACGAAATAGGCAAGCAATGAATGAGAGGGTTTATCATTCGCTTCTTGACAGACACACACCTTCCTCAAGGACAGTCCAGCAACCTGAATATCCTCACTGGACTCTCAGTAGCCGCCATCTTCATTGGCATTTGCCTCTCTGCTTTTATTGGTTACTGGTGTTCCATAAAATATCGTAAGTCTCAGGGAAGAGGGGACAGCATCATGTGAGCCTCGTGGGGATGTGACGGAGGCACAGAGGGGGCTGTTCCCATCCTGTGGGTTGATCTGTGTTTCCATTGAGGTTCTTGATGGAGGAACCCTGCCCCTTTCCTTGACTGACCACTCACCCCTCCTCTTCCCCTGCTCCAGCTCGTCTCTGGGGAGGCCACTGACCTGCAGGAGAGGGTCCATGAGAGAGGCAGAAGGATGGGGGCCGTGGATCGGAGGGGTCCTCAGGCAGTCAGGATTGCCCTGGGTTGCTGCCGGGTGGTTCTGATTTAGTGGGGGAGGCTGGATCACACTGCAACCTCAGGCACAGCCTGGCCTTGTTTTGGTCTTGATATTGCTACCTCTGACGTGAAGATCTGGAAGACTTTCTTTTTCACCCCACAGACACCCCCATGGCAAACACAGAGAGTGTGGAAGGCCAACAGATGGATGAAGACGTGAGTTCTCTCAGCCCAAGCCATCGCCATAGCTCCGTTGTCTCAGACGCCCAGTGGCCCTGCCTTTAGTTACTAAATATGCGCCTCTTTTCACCTCCATCCCCCCAGGACCCTGCAGCAGAAGCAGCACAGGAGATGGTGTATGCCCAGTTGAACCAGCACACCCTCTCTCAGAGAGGAGTCACTCCCATCCTGCCGTGTCCCGAGTCCCTCTCGGAGGAGCTCAGTGTCTACGTTACCATCCACCAAGCCTAGGCAGAGGCCACGGCTGCCCCCAGTCTTTGAGCACAGGGGGCATTCATGCGCAAGGACCTGGATCTTTTCCTAGGAGGATTTTTTTCCATGGACATTCCTCCTCCTTCTGGTACGATCTTGACACCCCCAAGCTGGCAACAGCAGAGTCTGAATGCCTGCGGGATTATCTCAGCACTGCTCCGCAGACAACGAGCCATTCTATGATTCCATTTTGAGCATCCAGCCATTTAAGGTGATTTGAGTCTACCCACCCACTCATTCTGGACATCTCACGAATGTCACCTGACTTATTCTGAGACTCTGCAGACATGCTTCTAGAAAGCTGATGCATATCCTCAGCCAGTTTAGTTTCTAAATTACTCAGTAAGTTTATTTAAAAAATTTTTTTGGACATTTTTACTGCTTTTATTGCAATGTGATTTTTTGGATTATGTTATCAAATGCTGTTTTTAAAAATCGTACTGTAAGTTCTGGGGTACATGTGCATAGCTTGCAGGATTGTTGCATAGGTACACACAGGCCATGGTGGTTTGCTGCCTCCATCCCCCCACCACCTACAGCAGGCGTTAGTTCCGGGGTACGCGTGCAGGATGTGCAGATATGCAAACGTGTGCCATGGTGGTTTGCTGCATCTGCCAACCCATCACCTAGGTGTTAAGCCCAGCATGCACTGGCTCTTTTCTCTAATGCTCTCTGCACCCCCTGCCCTCCTCAGACAGGCCCCAGTGAGTGTTGTTCCCCTCCCTGTGTCCATGTGGTCTCACCCGTCAGCTCCCACTTCTAAGTGAAAACATGCAGTGTCTGGTTTTTTGTTCCTGCACTGGTTTCCGTGTCTCTGCAAACGACATGATTTCTTTCCTTTTCATGACTGCATAGTATTCAGTGGAGTGCATATACCACATTGTCTTTATCCAGTCTATCATCGATGGGCATTTGGGTGGATTCCATGTCTTTGCTATTACTTAATAAAATTTTGCAGAGACGAAGTGTATTCTGTATCTGAGTCATCTAATATGGTAGCCACTTGTCAAACATGGCTTTTTAACTTAGAATAGATCAAATTACATGAAGTTTAAAATTTGATTTCTCAGCCACAGGGCCACAATTTGAGTTCTCAGAGCCACGTGTGGCTGCTGGCTGTCAGAGAGAAGAGCATGAATACAGAATGTTTCTTTGTCAGAGGAAGTTCTAGCTGTTGCAGATGAAAGGTTCAAACTTGGAGATGCAGAATGTATTTTCTCGCGGAGTGCAGCCTCCTGGAAGAGGCCTAGTGTAACAAAATGATAATATTTAACATTTATTGTGAGATGTCTTTAATGAAACGCAGGGAACAGGCAGAATTCTCTCCTGGAGTGTCTTGTCACCTCTTACCTTCGTGCAAATTTCTACCATAGAGATTTTTTCCCAAACTCTGAGAAGCTCACCTCCTGTCTGCCCCTTTTCTCGTCCCTTGGTTTCACATGGAGAGAAAGCACGCATCCTTTCTCAGTACAGAATATTGTCTGGAAGCTGCTTTCTGATGACCTCTATATCTGAGCCTTTATTCTGTTCCTTTCTACCTGGATTGGCACCTGCCCAGAGCAATTCACAAACTGCTGTAGTTAGTGAATTGGTGCATGCCGCTCCTTCACCTGAGAATCCTCTCCATTTCTTGAGCGTCTCAGTGCAGACATCCACCTTCATACACACGTCTTTATCTCATAGGCTAAGCAAAGAGGCCAATCAGCCCACAGTGTCTGTGCCCAACAGGGTGAGTTTTTATTGCCCGATCCCCACTGGTCTTTTACGTGTGGACTGTGAACTTTTGGAGGCAGGACTGAGTCTGATTAACCTCTGGGACTCAAGCCACCTTCCAAGGATCCTACCCAGAGGAGGTATCGGCAACTCTGGTCTGGTGAGTGACGAGGACACCCAACCCTTCCAGAGAGCAGAGCATGGAGCAAACATCAGAGATCTTCTACCGTTACCCAGAAATAGTTTCTCTGTCTCCCTGGGTCAAAGAGGGGATCATGCTTCCTTCACTGTCTGGGATATGTGGACTAAGGGACAAATGCTGGTTAGTGGGTGTGAGGGGGAAGGGCAGGCACCCCCCCAGGCTGGCTATTCGCTGCACGTATTGACCCATCCTGTAAGTTCCCCGCCTCACTCCCCACCCCCGCAACAGGCCCTGCTGTGTGATGTCCCTGTGTTTATGTGTTCTCATTGTTCAACCCCACTTATGAGTGACAACATGTGGTGTTTGCTTTTCTGTTCCTGTGTTACTTTGCTGAGAACGATGGCTTCCAACTTCAGTTTGAACATTTTTTAAGGCTTGGTCACCTGCAAGACCCATGAGTAGATATGGGGTCTCACCCTGTTGGCCAGGCTGGTCTCGAACTCCTGGCCTCAGGTGATACACCTGCCCGGCATCCCAGGCTGGTCTCAACTGTGGGGCAACTGGGGTTGTTGAACCAGGTGAACTGCCGATGCTTCCCGCAGACCCTGCACACCTGACATCTTCATACCTGCGTGTCCATGCAGGGATGATGTGGTTGGCGCTTGTCCTCCCGTCGAGGGCACTGACAAGCTTGGGGCAGCAGCACCAATCAGCTTCTATCCCGTCACGTGAGAGGCTGCACGTGGAGATCCGAGTGCACCCGGGCCTCACTTGTTTCCCAGGACAGCCTCGGCGCCCTTCCCGAGCAGCCCCTCGGACATTCATCCTGCAGGAGAGCCTCTCGTTCTGTCTCTGGGTGGTGGGCGTGGGATAGGGCACAGGCTGTGTTTGAATCACTTCACAGGACAGACGAGTCTCCTGTTCTGTTTCCGGTCACCACACTGCTCTGTGATCCAGGGATTCTCTGTCAGCGTCTCTTCCGGTGGGTCCACTCTAGAGTGTAAGGGATTCAGAGCACGACAGAGGTGACCACGGGCCTGGTGCACCAAGCACTTCCCTGCCAGGGGGACGCGCAGAGCATTTCCCACGCTGAGGAGCAGCCACTCGAGACCATTGGGTCGCAGGTGGAGGCCTGTGATGCAGCCGCGCATCTATTTCCAACATCCACCAACTCCGTAAAGACAAGTCAGGACAGTTGCCTTTATTTTATATTGAACGTCTTGTGGTTTACTAGCTTGCATTTTTTTTTTTTTTAAAGAAAATGAGTTGATATTTTTAGCTTTAAAAAATATCAAGATGATTTTTCCATTTTTTCTTCTCCCACTCTCTGACATAGAATATTTGCACATCCAAACCATAATTTCCTGTGCAAGAATGACACAGTTCCTAATCTGAGTCTGCTTAGATACCTGAGCTTGGCCTCGTGCCCACCACGCACTGTGTGAGATCATCCCAGGCTGCGTGATGCGCCTCTCCACAACCGTGAGCAATGCGAGCGTCAGGGAAGTGTGCACACATCTGGAGTTTAGTAATTTTCAATTATCAGAGGCAGATTTGGGAGCATTTTGTAATGATAGTGTGTTCGCAAATACCTTGCCTACAACAGGTTATATTTTTAGAAATTACAGTGCCCATTACACACACACAGCTGTTCCTTCTCTGCACTCACAGGAAACCCACAGAGAACCCTCCACAAACACCTCTGTATCTGCATTAAAGTGTAAAACCACATAAAAGGCCATCTTGCTGTTTACTAATTGTGCATAGGGTTGAACTTGTATATGTGTCTTCTAGATACAGTCAGGTTCAATGGCCTTATGCTGAATACATGCCACTTTAATTAATAACCATCCTCTTGGGGGGGTTCTCCGGGTCATTTGAATGTGGAGACCTACTTCTTCATCTTTCCTAAGAATTACCTTTTAACAGGTTTTTAACATCATCAGCAAAAATATTTTTAACCAACGGCCTCAAAAACATCTTAGAATCTGAAGGCCTAAAAGAGATATAATACATTCTTTCAGAGCTGTTGGAGAGATCCTTGTCAAACCTACTTTATACCATGAAGGATCTCAAAAATAGCTCATTTTCCCATGAGCCGTGAGAGACAATGGGATGGGAAGTCCCGAGGAGACCCTGAGGTGTGTGTGAAGAGCCACCTTCTCCAGTTTCAGTTCTCGTTCCCTCCAGGCGTGTCTAGGAAGCCCTCCCTCCCAACCCCACGGGGCCGTGTCATGGGCTGTGGAGAGAGCCTGACCCTCCAGTGTGGCTCTGACGTTGGGATGTGACTTCCTCCAGCACCCTGGTCTGCAGCCTCAGGCTGGGTTCTCCCAGGCTGACTTCCCCCTGAGCCCTGGGAGCGTCTCCCATGGGGGCCAGTACAGATGCTGGGTCCGAGTGGTCAGGCACAGTGACCCCCTGGCCATCCTGACCGCAGGTTGGAGCCCAGCGGGTTCAGACAAGTGTCCAAGTTCTGTGCAGAGCTGTGTGTGTATTTGTGGGGGTGTTTCTGTGTGTGCTTTTTCGGGTGTGTTTGTATGTGTTTGGGTGTGTATATGTATGCATGTTTGTATTTTTGTGTTTGTGTATATTTGTGTGTTTTTGTCTGCACGTGTTTGAATTTGCGTGTGTGTGTGTCTCTCGCTAATTTTATTTGTACGCATGTAAGTGTGTGTGTGGGGAGAGGTGTGTGTGTGTGTAGGAGTGTGCGTGTGTTTCTGTGTAGGTTTATTTGCATCCATGTGAGTGTGTGTGACAGTATATGTATGTGTGTGAGTGAATGTAAATGTGTGTTGTGGGTGCAGATATGTGAGTGTGTGAGATTGTGTGTGTGTGAGATTGTATGTGTGTGAGTTTGAGTGTTTCTCTGTGTGGGTTTATTTGCACACGTGTGAGTGTGTATACGTGCGTGTATAAGATTGTGTATGTGCATGTTGTGTGTGCGTATGTGCGTATATGAGATTTGTGTATGAGTATGTATGTTGTGTGTGGGACAGTGTGTGTATGACTGCGTGTTTTGCGTGTGTGAGATTGTGTATGACTGCATGTTGTATACGTGTGTGTGTGTGTGTGTAGATGGCATAGCACAGATGGTCAGGAGAGGTGCCTGGTTCTTCCACCATGT